GATTGAACTCCAGGGGCCCCAATTTGTATTGGACATTTGTTCCAAGGAAACAACAACAAAACACAAACAATAATAGACACCAAGGTTATTACCAACACAACTGCAAAAAAGAAAAGCATAGTAGATGAGCAATCCAGAAAAGCAATGAGAGAAACAATAGTAGTAGTGAAAACTTACAGTGTGTTTACCGAAGGCTGTTTTAAGATCTGTGTATATATTCCATTAGAGTCTGAATCCTGGGTTAGTCGGTGGAGGAGGGGAACGTTTTTTAGAAATATACATTTCTAAGCTTATGACCTTTTAAACATAATTGCAGTCACGTGGATCATTTATGGTCACTATCAAGACTATACAAATTCCATCAGTATTCCTCGGTGTAAATATGATTACAACTTATGTAGGATACCTATAAAAACTCTTTGTGATTCTAAGCTGCTAATGAAGCCTTCGGGTGGGATCTCTGGATGACAAACTTCTTCTCTGTTCAGCAGTACCGTGCATGAGTAGAATTTTATAACTTCTAACAACAAAGAATAGCTTCTTTTTAACTTGGTGCTTTTCTTGGTCAAATAAACAACCACCACAACATACTCTTTCTTCTCTTTGTGTCTTTAACTTTCATCTCTATACTCTTTATTCTCTGGATTTTACACTTTGTTCTGTGCTTTCATCTCTTCAATCAGGCAATAAATTATGCCAAAAGTAGTAGTGAGGTTGACTGACAAGTAAAACTGGTCTATAGTTGCTACTCCTAAAACATGTTCACTTTTAAAATAGCAATGTGAACAAAGAAGTGGAAAATGCAATAAAAGCCACTTGATATATTTGCAATATCTTGTGTATATATTGGGTTCTCATGGAATGACAGATTTATGTAGGACACATTATTTCTTTAAATCAGCTGAAAATTGAGCTCATTCATTATATGTTGCCTCCCTCATTAATTATAATTAAATAAGTGCCTTGTTAGCACAACCTCGTAGACATTTTTGACGTCTGCAAGATGGATTTTCTAAAGATATGTTGATATTGAACCACAGGCACCACTTCCCTCTTAGGTAACAATATGTGTTGAGCTCTACTTTTACATATATTTACCTGGCTACTTATAAAAATACAATTTTCACAAAATGAAACTCTCATTGCTTTCTGAAACTGATAAATCATTTTGAGTGTCTGTCATAAAGTACCAGTTTACACAGAGAACACCTGTCTCATAAATCAAGGGAAAACCTGACCATGGATTTAAATCTTGTGTTGACACAAATAATTAGCTTTCTTTTTAGGTGATAGCTCTATGTAACTATTCATTTTACTTCGTATTTAAAAAAAATTTTTTTT